ATTAAATAGGAAACGTCACATACGAGATATCTGAAAATAATTTTGTAAGAATCTTAACTACCTAACTTTTTTGATGGTCCACCAAAATTATTTGTATATGGCAGAATTATTTGTATCTACCTAATTTTTTTAATTCTTCAGCAAAATTGCTCTTTCAGTAATCTTTTCGGACTGATTAGACCTAAAATAACAACTTTCAAATGGTGCTACAACAAAATCTGTCCTTTTGATGGTTGTACTTAGGAGACTTTTGATCAACATCTCTATGAAACTACAAAATATTAGTTTCAGCCAATTTGGCAGCTAAAACCATTTGTTTCCATAATTAGTGGTCCTTTTTACTCGAATGTTTGGATTCAAGACTTATCACCGAGGAGAGTAATCAACGAGACTGCATTTGCTGCGCGATATTCAGAGACAATGTTTTATGTATATATATATATATATATATATATATATATATATATATATGCGTTCTGATTTAATCTCGAAGTTTATTGCAATTCCAAACTTGATTTCCAAGTAACCGTCACGCAGCCGATGAACAACTGATACGTTACACCCACGTCCGAAACTGTCTATAGACGCGAACGCACGCAGTCTCATACCGCACGAGGATCCCAAATTAGAGGAATGTCTGATTTACATCTCGAGATATCCCGGATGAAGCTATAAATAATTTCGGTGGTGGAATGTTAATGCGACCCTAGGCCAGAAAGGACTGAGCGAATGGTCCGCGGACCTCCAGTCCGCGCTCGACGTCCAGTCAAATTGGAAATACTACTACCATCACCAATCTGTTGTTCCCCTTCACCAAAAACAGCGACGAAAACAATTCACGTTAATCTCACGTAGAACGATCGAATATATTATATATTAATAGTCTAAATCACACGCGGCCGGTTTTCGCGTTGGTAAACACAATTTAATTGATTCATTGCCTTTTTCAAAGAAAGATTAAAAGGATCGTTTCATCGTGAGAGTAATTATGTGAATTGATAACGCTCTTAAATATATCTTTTTATAGCGTAACGTTTAATGAACAGCGAACTACTCGAGTATCGCTAGAAATCGCCCTTCCTGAGAATTCCGTTGTGCGACCTATATACGATGTATCTTATACCGCGGCGTTAGGTGAAGATAGCGAGAGAGATGTACGGGGGATGTGCGAAAGCTGAGACAGGGACAGAATGAAGTGTGGGGGGTCACACGAGGGTACGGGGAGGAGACACGGCGTAGAGCAGGACGGAGGGAGAGTCGAGCTGTCAGAGGCAGAGACGTTCTGGGATGGCCCCCATCCTAGTCCTCGCTCTCGTCGTCCTCCTCGTCTGTAATCGTGGGGGCGGTAACGTAGTCCTGTGCCCGACAGGATCACATCGCCACGCCGCTACTGTACCTATATACCTACGTACGTACAGCACAACGCGTGGCGTTGCCCTGCCTGGCAGGCAAGTAACGCGGACTGCCAATCTCGGCCGCCTAACGCAAAATCAAGTCGGAGATTGTCCCATTGTATAACCTGGCGCTCCTCGCTCGCCCGCCTTCGAGAAGCTTGTGAGATAACTGTCGACCTCGTGCACAGTTACACGCCACCATCCCGAAGGCGTGGAGGTGAAATGGATGATATCGCATAATAAATTATTACGACCTGCGATAATTGATACTAGATTGAGCAATATTGTATCAAATACAATACGAAAGAAAAAAACTACTTTTCTAAAGTACCTAAAAATTTAGCTAGATACAGAGCTGAAAATAAATTTGTTAAATAATTATATAAGACAACTCAAACTGGTTGCTAGAATGTCAACACTTTTTGCAGCATTATCCATTATGCTTTAGCGTCCCACGTAATTATTGTGATAGTTCAACAAAATTATTTTCAGATTTGTCTTATTTTCAGATCTAGCTAAATTTTCAGATACTTCAATAAAATTCTTTCCGTAAAAAAAGAGTGATGCTAAACAGATGAAAGGAAAAGCAAAAAAAAAATGGAATGTCTAAAATCTAATATATGTTATAAAACTGATTTATTATATACATAACACATCGCGTTGCCTATGTCAGTATTCGTGAGATAGACTGGCGATTAAAGCGATTAATCCGACAAGTAGTTAATTTTGCTGTATGACTTAGTCATCGCCTCCCCCAGGAACATCCACAAGTAACAACTTTCTTCATGGAGTATGACATATACGCTGTGATTACTGGATGAAACAGAATACGGGACGCAATTGATCACAACATTAGAGATATCGTCGAGAGTAACCTGATCTGCGGGGTAAGATAAATAAGCCAACAATGTATGGTGAGAGGGTCAAGAAATACTTGGCATCTAGTATCTTCTCTATTATTTACAAGGAATTACTTTTTAGGAAGCCCGATATAACTGTAAATAATATTATAATGACAATTATAGAAAAATACTATTTATATTACGTATAATACATAATTCATTTAAAAACAAAGTAAAGTATTTTTATATCTTAATTTATGATTTAATCGAACCACTTCACGATCAATATAAGAATAACTAGGAATAAATTTATTCATTATCAATTGATATTATCAATTGAAATTTACAATACATACAGAGCCATTAATGTGATTCGAGTGAAGGTAAATCAATATTGTTCCCTTAGAATTTATATAGATTCGCGTTTAATTCGACCATATTTTTCGACGACGTGTGCAGAGTTAAATCATACGGGATTAAAACGAAAGGTAACCAATCCGCGTCGAAACACAGCGATTCTTGCGCCGCAATTTCGCACGCATTCGATCAATCGATCGCGCTTTTCCTCGCTCGCAATCTCAATGCGAAATTAATAGGTCTCCTCCACGTGGAACGAGCACTTTGTGATTCAATTGAGATTCTTTGGGATTTCAGAACGGATAATATTCCAAGTTACAAGGAAAAAGGAAGGGACAAAGCGCGGACGCGAAAAAGAAGAAGAAGAAGTCGGATACGCTGCATCTCCTCGAGTTCGGAGTCCGTCGAGACGAAGCCCGCTATAATTTCAGCATCGATCATTCGCGAAGCGCCGGTCTCCCGCGCAAAAGCGTCGACGAGTCACAGCAAAACCTACACGCGCGGCATTGCAAAAAGAGTTACCGTACCAAGAACACGGAATACTTTATTCATTTGAACAGGGGTTGGCACAGGGGAAGGGCTCGAGGGGTGTGTCGGGGCGCAGTCATGTTTCGACGATAGAGTATATAGAGAGATGCCAATAAATATGTCCCCATCGAACATGCAATATGTATGCCGATGTCTGCCAATCCGCGGATAAGACTCGCGGACCCAATTCACCACGACTTGTCTCCGTTTCTTCCTCTTCATCTTTTTCTTCGTCTTCTTCTCGTTCCCGAGGCCCGACGTCGTCGACGCTGCAAAAAAGGCCCCGGCTTACGCGCGAGCGATCTAATGGACGTATTGAGACGAGATGTACCGCCACGACGATGATAATCAATACTATGCAGGGTTCTTAAGTCGAATCTTGGTGGTCAGATGTTTACACGGAGGTTCTGCGTTATCCCGTGTCACTTGACGCATGTCCGCAGTACTATACTGACAGCACAGAATCTTTTTATCAATTTTAATCCCTAATACATACAATGATTTTCCAGTCCTTTATTACGATGGATCATTCATGTTTCAAATTAATTTTATTATGATAGATCATTCATGTCCAAATTAATTTTCATCACTTTAATGAATATACAAAAATTATTAAGTGATTCTTTAACATATTTAGAAAATATAGTAAGGTTGCATATCTTAAAAAATTGTACATAAACGTTATAATTACGTGAAGCCTCTAGTTTAAAAAAAAAAAAGAAATGTACACGACACAAATGACTCGTGTGCGTGTATTAAGAGTTAAAACATAAACAAAAAATCATTTATATTATATAAAATTATCATGTCAGAACGCGCGCGCACGCGCGACTTTGATCTAGTCTATTTTTTCATACAATTATAAGAACTTTTTGAAGAAACAATTGGCATTGCATATTTGCAAGTGGAATTAATTTTATCGTAATTAAACTAATAAAGCAGATATTCCATACAACACAGATTATTCCAGCAATACTGCAATAACATTATTAATAACGTTATAACAATAATGCAAGCTTCTGTACAATATACATATAGATATATGTAGAAAAAAAATTTTTTTTAAATTCGTTAATCATATGTCAATTTAGAAAAAAACGATCAAGTGTAAATGTGAAACTAAATTAGCGATTTGTGAGATTGTATACGTCAAGTAGAAGAGTCTGACTTACAAAGACAAAGCAACATTTAAATAAGTCGCGGGAGAGAGAGATTGGTATACCAAAGTTTGAGTCCCTTTTTGTCGCAGGTGAAAGGAAGACGATCGACTCTCATCGGGTGGTCGCTGATCGCGACGGATAGACGTCCGATCTGGCAGCAAAACATTCGCTGATCCGGCGTATTAACGATCTCATCAATAAAGCTTTCCTTCGTATCCACACAGACAGTCGTGAGGCCCCAGAAACATGACGCGAATCGATGAACCCTCCCTCCCGGTATCGCGCAAAAAAAATCGCCAATTTGTTGAATGCATTGGCCATAATTTTACGAGAAAAACCGCATTTTGTGTGCGTCGGGCCCGAAGGACTGTACACGCCGGTACAAATGTCGTGTACAAATGTCGAATCAGACAAGATCCTCTTTTTCGACTGACATCCATCGGAATTGGTATACGTCACATGTACCAACCGCGAGATAGAATAAAAGAGACTTTTTGTGGTGATTTCTTGATGACAAAAAGACATTCAGAAAAATCCTCATTGCAATAATCACTGCTAATATCCATATTACCATAATTTTAATTTCTGGAAATGTTCGTTTCTACCTAATGTAGATTTACTTCGATTTACTTACTTAACGAATACTATAGCGAATATTTGTAATTAGTTTTTAAACGAAAAGTTTAAGAAATTATAATTATCTATATTTAAGTGTTTGATATCTTTGATTGATCTTTATTTAATTTATATTTGTTTACGTGGACAATTTAGATACTATTCTAAGTGACAGTTTATCTTATTGAGTAGTGCAACTACCATGGTATATAATTACATAATTTTCTAATAAAGTCTTAATATTTTATTTTTGTAGCTTCCATCTGGGATTGAATTTTCAAATGGAATTGAATCCATGATGTCGCGTCTTCTTCTACCTGTTCCATTAGTTGCTGCTGTGGTGGTGGTGGTGGTAGTGGTGGTGGTAGTTGTTTTATGGCATCGGGGTTTACAACAACATTTCTTACATTTCTTTGTTTTAAAAAAGAAGGATTCCTTCGCACAGAACAGAGAACGTCGTTATTTTTCGGAAATTTATCGATAAATGGAATGTTTGAATTAAGACTTACGGATTCCTGGAACATGGCACACACCACGATCGTCAAGATCAAGAACACCACTGATAGTCTCATATTGTATTCTTGTGTTGCTAATGTTTGCACTGTGAATACTCGCGTCGCAGTAGCGACATTTATACTGTGCCGCTGAATAACAATTTACTTGTTAAGCATTGACAATGAATATGGTACACATCTGTTTTGCCATTTGTCATAGCTCACTGTCAAGTATATTCCATATAATAGAGAATAATAACAAAGTATCAATATGTTCCGCATTCTTTTAGGCACATGTCTCTGATATGAAACAATTGTTATACTCACAAGTCGTATTAAGTTAAATGCAAATACTGTTGTACCATTTTTTTTTTATATACTTATAATAGTTTAAATCATTTATACACACACACACACACACACACACACACACACACACGCACGCACGCACGCACGCACGCACGCACGCACGCACGCACGCACGCACATAGTATTTTATTTTATTTATCATGGTGTCCAGCAAAATCTGGCTAGTCAATTCAAGGATAATTCCAGAACATTCCAGGTAAAAATCCTGGCTTTTCCAGAATTTATCCCATCCATTAATTTTCATTATTTAATTAATTTTCATCAATTTGCACATTATTGTATGCTTTATATTTAAGTTAAGATTCTATATCACAAGAATGAATTAAACAAATTTGGAACAATATTATTTATTACTTAAATAATATCAAACATACCGTCAACACAAACAATTTGTCTACTACCTATGTTCTATTTTAGATATTAAATTCAAGTTTCTTATTTTCTATTCGTAACTTATTGTATCTTTAACTTGGCGTGAACTAGGTGGTAAAATATCTAAAAGTATCTTAAATCTAAAAGTACTTCAAAAAATACAACGGATCTCCCACTAAATAAAAATTCAACCACAAATAAAATATTCAAAATTATAAGAAAATTATGTTTATTAAAATTTTAATCAAATTAGTAACAATTTTTAAAGTTAAAGAAATCAATGTGTAGGTCGTGACATACTCGACCTAGCCGGATTAAAGAAGGACTTCCCCAAACACAATTTTTCTTCTTATTTTTTTCTTTTTTTACGCTTTAATTTTTTTTAGAAAGAATGATACATTCCAGGCAAGTCCTGAAATTTCAAGGGTTTTCTAAGAATTTTCCAGAATATATAAAATTCCAGTATAATTCCAAGATCCATGGATATTTAAAAACCGCTGGACACCATTGTTTATGCATAAACTTTAGTATTTTATAATGTCGATAACGATTTAATCCCTCAAGTGACATCTCTCAAATAAGAATTCAGACGTAGATCAGTATTAAATTTTGGCGAAATACCGATCCTGTACCGAAAAATGAGTTTCCTATTTTAAATATTGGACCAGTATTTAAAAAACATTGATATGGTATTAATCCAATGATCAATATAGAAATATTAATCCAGTACATTTTCATTACATTTTCGGTGTTTCTATACTAAAATTATCCAAATTCAATATATTACATCAAATGTCATATTGAGACAGTACACCGTCAATATATTTGTATCTGTATTTAGTAGTCATTCCGTACTGTAATAGTACTGTATTATAAGTCTTAACCCGTTGCTATCATCCCAGTATTCCTTTAGTATCATATCTGTACTGACATATAAATTGGACTAGCAACCTCGCCAATAGTCAATTCCTACTAGGGCTTTTATTATATGTATTTATATATATTTAAAAAAAAATAGAAATTTAAAAATATGACCTAACAGACGTCTGTTCGTCTTTTTTTAGAATTTTAAAAGTTAGCGTTTTTCCCTATAATACCGGAATATATTTGAATATACTTATCCGACGTTGTTTCCGCATGCATGCATGCATGTAACAATTACATCATATCAGCGACATATGCCTAAAAGAATGCGGAACATATTGATGCGTTGTCATTATACGAAATATATTTAACAATGAGCTACGACAAATGGCAAAACAGGTGTATACCATATTCGTTGTCAATGCTTAACAAATAAATTGTTATTCAGTGGCACAGTATAAATGTGCTACTCGACGCAAGCATTCACAGTGCAAGATTAGCAGCGCAAGATTGCAATATGAGACTATCAGTGGTGTTCTTGATCTTGACGATCGTGGTGTGTGCCATGTTCCAAGAATCTGTAAGTCTTAATTCAAACATAACCATTTATCGATGAATTTCCGAAAAATAACGACGTTCTCTATTCTGTGCGAAGGAATCCTTCTTTTTTAAAAAATCAAGGTCAAGGAAATGTAAGAAATGTTGTTGTAAACGCCGATGTAAAACAACCACCACCACCACCACTACCACCACCACAACCACCGCAGCACCTGCAGGA